TCACACCTTTTGCTTCTGCAAACTTTACAATCTGCAAAATCACCAGAAAACAAATCTGTCAACAGCTGAAACAGAGAAAAGTGTCCACGTTCTTTTTTCAGCATATTTTGTGCAGTACCTAAAAACGCAATAAAACTTACATCTGTAGTTTTCATCTTCACTTAAACCTTTTCTGCCAAAAGGACAAGAAGGTGCTCGGAGTCAAATTCAACAAATTTAACTCGATTTCCCACCATCCATTTTCTAGCCTTTAATCCTGTTTATACTCAGAGGAGGAGCTGAAGCCAAAAGAAATTCAGAAAATGTTAGGAAATAGCTGCAAGACACTGCAGAAAAGTTAGAGGAGAGGTGAAGTGTAGCTGGAAACGCTGGCCTTTACGTTTGTGTGTTGAAGCAGCATTTACCAGAGGACGGATTTTTTTCAAAACCTAATGTTGGTGAAACATTAATATGGAAATAAAAGACAATATTTACATCAACTGTAACAATTAATTACATCATTACCTCATCATTTAAAGTGAGGGTGATTTTCTATGGGTTGAGTCTACAGCAGGAACAGCTACTGAACAATCGTGGAGTTTAAGCCATTAGTCAGTATTGAATTAGAACCTGAGAAGCCGTGAAGGACGCAACAACATGGGTTTGGAACTCCTTTAGGAAAATAACTGTTGTTGAACACGGTCGGCAAAGACATGAACAGAATGCTCTCTGAACCAAGGACAAAGTTTTATATCAGATAATTCTAGTTGTTTTTGGGGGGAGGGGAGGACGGAGGTTGCAGATATTTCTTTATTGAAAACATTATCAACAAACAGACTAGCATCTGCCAAATATACACAAACATAAAATAAAAATATAAACAAACGCACAAACCTAAACCAAAACAACAGAAGGCTGCCATTCTGTATTAGGGTTTCTGTATACATCTACACATATACAAACACACACAGATACGTATTAATATATATACATATATATACACACATATATAAATACATATATTTATATATATAAACATATGTACATATGTTTATATACATACATGTACATAAAATATATATGTAAATATATACATGTACATAAATACTGTATATATACACATGATATATAGACCTATGCCATAGACATATACTGTATGTTTATATATATTTATATATTAAATATATATACATACAGAAAATATATTTACTAAAACTGTTTTATTTTGCTCTTATCATTACATTGTTTTTGTTTTTTTTTTTGCAAAACCTTGAGTTTTGACATTTCTCTTTTCCCCCCTGATCGCTGAGGTAGACGTAGATTACTTTGGACACATCACACACTGCGTTATTCTTTTTTTTTTTTTTTTAATTAGGGGCTCCTGTTTATTAGCCCCCAACAGTAACTCTAGCAAATGGTGAATGGGTGTCCAGTTAATCAAAATCGTGTTGGCAGATAATGGCTGCCAAGGGCTCCACCAGGTTCGCAAAATTTAATTAGGAAAGCTATGAATCTCTGCGGTGCTTGCTCAAGGGTGAAAGGGGACCGAACACACCGAAACTGTGGTTGACTGGTTTATAAAGTTTAAATTGTCCAGGAGAGGAGAGGGGTGAGGACTTTTTTCCTTATGTGTGCAACATCACCCTTTCAGATGTGTCAATGTTTTCTAATGTTTCCTGTGTCTTTACAAACACGTGTAGGTGCGGACGGTTTAATTAGAGGAATCAAGGTTATCATAGAGCAAAATAACAAAAAAACAAAATTAAAAACATTTACAGATTGGAGGCTTTGCTCCTATAATCGAGCTATTTGACTACAAAGCAGCTGCTGGCAGAGGGTTGGCGCATTTATAGAAAAATAATATGAGCAGGTGACTGGATCAGGGAGGAGTGCGAGTGAAACAGAACGCATGGCAGTGGAGAACTGCTGCACAGGGAGAATATAATAATAGATGTGAAAAATACCATAAAACGCATCGTCTCAGAGGAACAATGTCAGAGCCTTAAACACAGCACAGAGGAGTTCTTACGACTTCAACGACTTCAGTGTAAATGTTCAAGTGCACCTGCATGTCTTCTGTGTATTCTGTAACCATGTTAATTCCAATATCAATTTTACTACATTAGCGATTCCTTATTGATTCTCTTCTTCAGTCTCATTGGGCTACATCATGAAACAGTCGGTAAACAAATGGGTTTGTTTCCATTCAGATTTGTTCAACACAAAAATAAATAAAAATCCCAATTACTGGGCAGAAACAAACACCAGCAATCTCAGGTTTTTCAATAACAAAGCTGTGATAGAGGAGCCTGTGGCAAACCTTTAAATGTAATAATAGCAGATGGGCATTATTAATATACTATCCTTACAGCAGGTTTCCACAAGAAGGCGCTAACAACAACACGGGGCTACAAGAGGCGTTAGCATAGTTGCTCTGCAGCGTATCCAAATCAATCACTTCGTCATTATCAGCAGCCATAGTGTCTTTCTTGTGACACAACCCAATATTGGAAACACTGGGACCAATGGAGAACCAGTTCACTGCAAGAAGACTTTTCATCCCTAATGACAGTCAATGTTGATTCAACACATCAGCAATCTGCAAACTGGACCTGGTCAACTGAGCACGCTCCACAACAACCTTATTGGATAATGGATGTACCAGCGATTACTACAGCGATTACTATTGATACTTCATATTTACATTTAAACGCCAAAAAGTCACAGCAAATGACAGCGTACGACAGCTTCAACATACTGCATGAGCCAAATGTTCAGATCGCTAAACATATGGGATTTCACTCACCCATGAACAGCAGGTAACTGACAAACAGCTAGCACTGCAACAGGGAAGCTGTTTAAAACGCTAGCAGTTTGAATTATTTAAAATTCTTACCTCAGAATCTGTGCTGCCTTTTTCTCCTGCGTGTGCTGAGAGTTTTCCTCATCCTGAACCTGCATAGGTTTAAAAAAAAAAAAAAAAAAAAAAAAGAAGAGAACATTTACTTCTTTCTTCTCTGTCTTTTGGCTCATTTTCATACAGCGCTTCACAAAAGTTTGCTGCCCTCAAAATGTCAACCAAACATTTACGGCGACAGCCAGCGTTTTTGACATACCTCCTGTTTCACGACTGATTTGTCACATGAGTATGACGATGTTGACAAGTGTAGTATAAGCAAGTATCAGCAGTGTGTGTACTTGGTGGGCAGTGACGCTAACAAAATTAGATGCAAAACCAATTTGGTGACAGCCTGATTTTCTATCCAACAACAGAGAAGGAGTTCACTGTTTAGTAAATCTGTGCAGCTTTAGTTAGGCCTTCTAACTAAAGGTCAGTCAGTAAAAACAAAAAACAAAAACCCCAACAACAACACAGAACAACAACAGCAGGACAGGGATACATGAATAACAAAATTCAGTTTTTCCCAGAGGAACCACACATCCTAATAGCGCCTCCTGTGGCAGCATGCCAGTTGCAACCATAACTTAAAGGTGCCCCCGGTGGCAGGCTGTGTTGGTTGCAAAGACTTAGACTAAATTTCATAGTGAATAATTGTGTTCCTTATTTGTCCCGCAATGGCACTAATAAGGAACTCAATTATTCAACAATAATTATAATAATAATATTAATATGTACAGAAATCCACAGAGAAATCATTTCTTTTATAGTTATTAAAGGAATTCTTTTCCACTGCTTTTTGTTTTAGATCGTGAGTGGCAAGTTGTAAAAAGATATCCCAAAAAAAAAAAAAAACCTTAAAGACTTCTGCACAAGACTGCTGAGGTAGTGTTCTATGGAGTCCTCCATTCTTGTGTGTTTTTAGACCATCAGCAGATTCCCAACTTTGACATCAGCATTTCTAGTCCAAAAACACAGACAAACAGAGAGTAAATACTTGACTCCATTACTGTGAAGCTACATTATTTATGATGGGAAACAGAAATATATTTTCGGGAGCTGTAGAACAGAGCATTCATTTTCATGGCCATCCCGTATCTCTGGGATATTTAGGCATTGGTATGGTTTTTTTTACCAACACCTATTCCATTGCTACACTGTCTAATGTAAAGTAACAGTAAGATGATCCAGTCCCATTATTTTAAGTAACTGGTGCTAAGTGTTGCTAACCTGCTTTAAACCTTGGTGGAGTCAGATATCAACGTACATCTGAAGGAGAGGTTTTTAATTTCTACATTTTTACATATTTACTTTTGTCAAACTAAAAAGAAAAGGTTCGCTTTTTTATAATAATGACAATAATTTACAAGTTTGATTCCAGATACAGAACACGTACATGAATAAATACTTTATTGCATCTTTAAGTTAGATTTCCTCCCACATTCTTTCACTTCTTGGTCTGCTCTGAACCATTAATACTCTTGCAATGAGATAATTTCAAAGACGGACAGGGAGATACGATCGTCTCATTTTTATAGAAGCAGTTTTTACAGGGATCAAATGAGTTTTGAATTTAGATCTTTGCTTGAACACAGCTGCCGTCCTCACAGACAAATGGAACCGTAGACCAGGCGAACCCTAATGCACCACAGAGAGGACATTAGAAACACATATCCTGTTTTATTAATGCGGTCAATACAGTCCATTAGGCCGGGGATTTAAAAGCCACGGAGCGCTCCCACCTCCATTAATATTTCCTTCTGACCCGTGGTAATCTTTTCTTTTTTCCTTTGAAGGAAGCCAAGTTTCCTTTCACAGTCCCCAAACAGCAGCAAAACAGAATTGGTCTGGAGTGTATCTACATGTTTGGAATTGTACTTAATAATGTGTTTATCAAGTACAACTATTTAACCATCAAGTAAATGTCAACAAAAACGATCAGGTAACTAACAAGTCACACTCTGTTGCCAGTCGTCAGTGTTTAGACTGACTAATGACTATCTCGTTATAATCTGACAGTAACCCTTTGTGACCTCAGGGTCTTGGTGGACCTCATTATTTAACATTAGATGTGTGTGACACGGAGAGCCCTCTGCAACGGGAGGCATGGCGAAAATATACATACACAGTTATATATATGGAGCATTCCAACAATTCCATGTGAGTTTCCTGCTCTCACCCTAGAAGGTCTTGCTTCAAAAGCTCAATAATCATCAGGTTGTCATGGTCACCTGCGAGGACCTTTTTGAACCAGGCAGCAACAAGAAGGTATGACTGACTCCATTAGTATCATTTGTGTTTATATAGTCGACAAGCAATTAGGGACTCTGTATAAGGGTCTGCTTAGCATGACCAAGTCCCCTAGCAGGGGGTCCAATTAGAAGATGCGACACCTGAGGAAGACCACGGAAGTGACTAATGACATGATCTACACGGCAGCAGCAGTGATCATATACTAATAATATACTAAATCCACAATGTACAAACTCCTTAGTAGAGTAGAAGGGTTAATGCTAAAAGCTGCCTCAATGCAGAGGTACAATACCAGTTACAGGAGACCAGGTGATAAAAAGAGTGTTCTCCACTTTAACATCTAAAATACATTGTTCATTTCAATAATAAGAACATGAAAACGGACCCCGTAAATACTGAAAATGGTCAAGGGTAAAAAAGTTCATCCCATAATCCTTTGCTTTTGTTTGGTAGAACTGAATAAATCAAACAACCAGACATTCAAGTAATTAAAAACATGTACAAAAGGCGAGCTAGCCACAATCCTTAACACACAGTTGACATCCAATAGCTTCAAAAACTGACTGCCCTCCATCAGCCTCTGGCAGCACAAATGGATTAACTGCTGATGGATGGGACAGAGTGACTCACCCAAGGACACACAGCCCTGATCATTAGAGATCGTTGGGAAAAGAAGTGATCCCGTCCAAGTGGGTGGCCCATTACAGTACCTGCTCCTGCAAAACATGGACACTACTGTCATGGCACGTGGCCCAACACACTGAAAATGGAAGGTAAACACCAGCTACGGTCCAGAAGGCAATCTTCCCAAGTATCCCGATACCAGGGACACCATCGTACTGATGGCCTGGATGGAGTCCAAGAAAGGCTTTGAGTGTGTACTAAACAAACAAATACTGAAATGCTTGGGGACTGGAGCCATACAACCAATCTGATAGGTCAATAGGCACGACAACAGACGAAGGTAATGGTAACAGTTTTAGCTCATTAAACGATAATTGCCGTTTGAGAAATAGAATGGATATGATTCAAATTTATTTTGTCGACTCTACTCCCTGCAAATATATAAAATGTTCATTTGTTTTTGGTACCTTTCTTCTATTTAAGCAATATTTTTTCCCAGTTTTTCTCTACCCTAGTTGATGTGATCCATCTTACAAATGCTGTCATTGTTAGACTCGTGACGCCGTCTTCCCCACTTGAATTCTTTCTGAATGTGTATTGACAACAAATGGACCTTCATAAAAAACACCTCTATTTTAAATCAAGCAACGCTTCACCTAAGAGTGTGGCTAATGCTACATGTGCTACAAATGATTTCAGTAGCATTTAAGACATGTGCCATTCAGTCCAAAGGCTGCAATATTATTTCAGGTGGCCAAATGTTGAAGCCATTCTCTATAATACTGCACTGAAAGATCCATGCTGCGTCCCTGCCCCCATTCTGAGATTGGTGCTAAACAGATTATTTATTCCCTTTCTCTACTTTATCCTTATTTGTGTGGTCAAAGGGCCGCAGCAGAAATTACATCGAGATGAGACACAACACACATTTATTCACCACCATGTTTTTGGATTGTGAATACTCACAGTAGTTGGCAAAATTAAATATTTGTTGCTCCAAACAAGTAAGAGAAAGTAGAGAAAACTGCAGTACAGGCTGAATATTATATCACTGTCAGCTTTGGCTGCACTCCCATGCACTGATTTGAAGAGGTGGTAAGTTTAACCCCAGCAGTTTCCTACAAGGTTAGTACGCTCCTCCTACGATGTTCATCCAACGACCTCACACATTATCAGTCACCTCTGTTTGAATTAATGTCACTGGAATCAGAGCTTAACTACTCATGATATCTGGTTCAGACAGACGGGGGATAGCGGTCACCTCTGTTTGAATTAATGTCGCTGGAATCAGAGCTTAACTACTTATGATATCTGGTTCAGACAGACGGGGGAATTATCCTCAACAAAACATCACATATTCATGTCCATTCAAACTGTTAGTATACAGTGAGAGATGCAGCTAATAAGTACAACAGGCTAACACAGTGTTTATGATTTACGACGATCGACAATGACGATAATAACGGGGTTAGCCTTTAGGTATCTGAGCACTGAGCATTTCAAAGACAGAGTAGAGTAACTGAGGTGACGTTAGCAGTTCTCCATTTTAATTATGCCATCATTAATAACACATTATGGATCCGTCCAAAGGAGACAACAATTTATCAAGTGAAAGGGTCAAAAACCAGACGAGAGAGTGAGTCAAAGCTAATGTTTAGTTAAAGATCATTACGACACACACAGGTTCAATAGAACCAATGAAACTCTTCAGTTTGTGTGGTAGAGGATATTTTGAACTTTAGGAGCCACAATTACCTTTTTACATTTTTTTACTGACTTTTAACAAAATAATAATTTTATTCACAGTTTATCCACTTATCAATCCTCTTTGTGAGAAAGTTTTTGTTTCACTGAAGCACCTCAGGACACAATAGCCAAATGAATTGCCACTGTGGAGACGCATAGAGAGAGAGACTATAATTATTTTTCTGTTACTTTATAATTGCACAAGGATAATTGATCCTTCTGTTCCAGAAATATACAAAAGTTTTGGTTGTTATAATTGGGAATTTTGTTTTTGACCATGATTAATTGTCTAAATCTATTACAAATCCAAAGAAAGTGGGATTTGATTTGTGTCGTAAACTGATTTTAATACTGGTTATTTCCAGTGCACCTACAGTATCCTGAAAACATGGTTGTTTTCTTCATGAAAAACATGCTAAGAATGAAGTGAGGAAATAATTTACGTGGCAATTGATTAATTGACATCTAGATTAGATGACTAAGACCGGTCGATCAGAAAGACAGATGGATGGAGGAAGGAAGGAAGGAAGGAAGGAAGGAAGGAAGGATGGATGGATGGATGGATGGGCAGCAGGCAGCATTCCCGCCTGCAGTAACCTTGATGACATCCTTTATTACAATGTGCAGGGTGACATCTTGACAGAGGCGTGTTGCACCAGATGGAGGGGAGGGACTGAGCTCCGTTCCCACCCTCCACTCGTCCTCTGTGGGGCAGGGCAACATGAAGGAAGTTGTGGGTAGGAGAGAAAAGGGAGGGATGGCAGTGAGGCTGGTGCACAGCTTGACTGACACTGCACTGGCACATCTCTTTAAGGCTGCCCTTGTCCTTGTTCTTTGACAGCAGGTAGCTTATATTCTGGTCTGGCCTTGCCATTTGTATCAAACAAATAATAGTATTCTGCATATAGGAGGGCTCCCTCCTCTGGGCATTCCCTGACACAAGTGTGTGGTTCATGGTGAAAATTAAATGCTTCTTTAAATCTAAGATTAGATCAATGAAACCAAACTTAGTTTAAGCTCATGGTAGTTCTAGTTCACATTTTCTCCATACAAAAAAGAATTATTCTATTATATCTCTTCACGCTAAAACCCGACGGTACCAGAGCATTAGCACAAAAAAAATAAATAAAATAAAATAAAAATGTGACGGGCACAAGGTGTTTTGGATATTAGGCTGCTGAAAACCTACAGCATTAGTTTAGGTCTGACAGTATGACACACAACACTGCCTGAGAGTCCCACTGCTGTGGGGAATTCAGTCATGGTGGACTGATCAAAGGTGGCATTGCCAGCAAGTCGCCTTTAAGGACATTGGCAGTTAGCACGGGGGCTGCCCAGCCTCTTTGTCTTCCTGGCAGCCCTTTGATGAGAGTCCCCTGGGTGATTCACTCTTACTTACAGAAGTGCACACAGCTGTTAAGAATTGGATCAAAACAGACTGGGAAAGGGTTGGATGCACAGATAGGAAGAGCAGAGCAAAGGATTAAAAACGTGGAGATAGATGGCGAGCATAGCGAAGCAGAGAGGAAAACATAGGGAGACAAAGCACCCAGCAGACGGAGGGTAGCCACGAGAGGGAAGACTAATATGTTGAAATAATCTGTGCTATTCATCATTTGCACTGTTGTCACGTTAGGAGACGAAAGGTCACTCGCCGTCCTCGTCGTCCTCGAGCGGCTAACACGGATTCCTCAATCAACTCATCAGTCGCAGCAGTGAATTGCCCGTCACATACAGACACTCATCTGTACTTGTAAACTTGGATCAGTTCCCAATCCATTTCGGAGGTGTTTACGTTTAATGGTCTGCTTCACTGGTGTGTGCACCAGCTGCGACAGAGATACGTTATTTCCTTTCTGCGGGATCCAGTTTGGGTAACAACGCAAAACACTTAAGTTACCTGTCAGACAACAGCGGGAAGTAGGGACGTGTCCAGATACTTCATTTAAATACTTGTTTAAACGTACGGAAAAAAAATCGTACGGAAAAAAAATCATGCGCCGATGCCCCCGACCCGATATTCTGAAGCAGCTTTTCACCACACCTGTCTGCAGGGGTTATTCTCTGTTTTTCTCCTTTAGTTTAATGTCTCATTTTCCTCATCATTGGTTCGTATAAGTAAATGTACAATGGCAGCAGTTTGGAGGAGGTTCGATTATGGGACAAGCAATTTAACGAAACAATTGAAGACACATCTTAGCACTAAATGCTAAAGTCTCTTCTCAGTTAATAATAATAATAATAACTATCTGTTCAGTAGAATGTTTTATTTTTTTTATCTTTTTTTTTATTGATATAAGGTCATGTGACGGCAGTGCCAAAGTGTTTAAAGACATTATTTAATACAGAAAGATTTGTTTTCGTTTCAATTGAAATTCTATCAACAAGAAGAAAACCTGGCTGTGAGTATTTTCCATAGGGATGTCTGATAATGTCAGCCGACCAATATTATCGGCCCAATATTTGCATAGCTGTCTAATGTGTGTGTGGATCTTTATCTGTTTTTCCTCCAATAATTCTGCAGTGGGGGGGGCGGAGGTGGGGATCTTACAGGGTGACATGTCAATCTGTCCTGCTGCTCCGATGATGATGTCCATGCGGTTCATCAGCAGTGGCCCCGAGGGCTGCCAGGTTGCCAGTGGGTGAATATGGAGGGGTGACTGCAGCCTTAGTGTTCTAATCCACATGCCCCAGTGAGTGGCAGGAGGAAGTGTGAGGCCAATCACTGGCAGATGTGAGTAAGACGGTTTATACTATGAACTGCGTCAATCCTCCATTTCTGGGAGGCACCAACAATAGATCCTTCACCACAGGGAATACGGAACCTTCAACCCAGCTAGCACTGTTAGCCCCGAGCACTCCGAAGATGTCAGAGTATTTCTTCTCCTCAGCTGGAGACATGAGCGGTCTGACAATTTTGAGGTGTTGTTCTCTCTACATGGGCTGTGTCTGACTCATTTCACCTAAAAGTGGGTTCTGCGTTCCTTTTCTGGGGGATGGGAGGGTGAGAGGAGGGTAAAAACTGGAGAGTGTAGTTGTATTTTTTTTGTTTTGCTTTTAATGTGTGACTGCAGAAAAAAAAAAGAAAACACTGATAATTAAACCAATTAAAAAGCTGCAGTAAGTGTTTCAGGTCTGGTTTGTTGGTTTGCACTAAATGACATTTAGTGCAAACCATTAAATGACAATAGTGAATAATACAGTGTGTTGTGTATTAACACCTGTGAGCAGAGAAACAAGTAAAAGTTCTCACATTTTTTGTGTTCTCACAAAAAAAAAAAACAGTGTTTTGAACAGTAAATGTAAATTGTCGTGTTTTTTCCAGCTCTAAATATATTAGACAATTAGCAGCAGAATTCTCCACCTGGTGCTCCTTCAATTATCACAATGAAAGTTGCTGAAAAACTTGTGTGGTGTCTGGTGTGTTTGTTCATCTCACCAGTTTCACCTCTGGATTTAAAACTGGAACGAATAAAGTGCTCCTTTTGCCAGAGGGGAACGACAATTTTAAGACTTAAAACCAAAGTTTAAAGAATGTATTAATTTTTTAAAGGTTAGCAAAATTAGTGTGAACTCATTTTCCTAAGCCATGACCTGGAATATACAGATTAATTTGGTTTGCTATTAAGTAGGGAAATATGTGTTTATTAGTTAGAAAAAAAAAAGAAATGAAGAAATAAAGCGTAAAGTGAAAACTGAACGTGAAACTGCCGTCACAAACAAATCGAATTCCTAAATGCCGACAACGGCCTGAATTAACGGCAGAATACCAATTTTCTATGGAATAACAAACATCATAATATTACAGTGTACGGCAACACAAACAGCATATTAATCATCCGGCCTTTGATTTGCAGCACTACTGATTCCAGGCTGCTTCACGAGGAACCGTCACAAAGCAGACCTGCTCAATTTTGGCGGCAGATGGAGAAGTGGTTTGCCCATGAGGTGGCAGCCAGCAGGCTTTTCTGTTGCCTCTGTTGCATTTCCCAGTTTCCCTCTCCAGAGTGTGCAACAGTTACACATCGGAGCAAACTTTGAATCCAAAATCCAGCCAATCAGGTTCTTTGCACTATGTAACAGGCATGGGCAAACTACGGCCCGGGGCCCGGATGCAGCCCGTTTAGCTTTTTAATCCGGCCCGCCAAACTTTTCCAGATTACATAATTTATTTATATTATAATTATACTTCTAACTTTTTTCCTGCAATACCCACATTTCCCCAATAGATGGTGTAGAAAATGATAAAAGCATTTTAGCCTTTATGCATGACTTTTACATGTCATTTATCTTAGTTCACACGAACACTCCATCTATCTGCTCCTGACTCGCTCCCCCCATGTTCAATTTTAGGACAATTGTGGCCCACGAGTCAAAAAGTTTGCCTATGCCTGCTGTGTACCAGTAACATCACCTGCATTAGTACCAGGTGTTTGGGACCAGGAATTACCGCCACAGAAAGACAACTGTAGCAAATGCTGAGGAACTGACTCTAATTTGTTACATTTTACTTTTCTGTGTTTAGTTCTATTTAGAGTGAAGAAAAACCAGCTTGACGCTCACGTACCTGAGAAATCGTCCTCCTCTCGTGCCGACTCGCTCGACTCCCGTCTAATTATCTGCAGGTGATGAGGTCGCTGCAGCCGTTCTGGTTCCTGTGTCATTTAAAATGAAACCAAGAGAAGCGAATAAATAATGCAGCAAAACCTAAAGACATAACACCAAAACAAATGCACATGGTCGGGGTTGCTAGGCGACTGGCTCCTTAACTATGTTGTGGAGGTAACGGAAAAATTCCCAGAGACATTTACTGTACGTCTCATCACCGGCTTTAATAACTGCAACAGTGTGAAGTGGCTGATGAAAACATTGCGGAGCAATTTTCAATTTAATTTTGGGAAAAACAGGAGAGTGGATTTTCTGCTTGGCTGAGTGTGAACTGAAGACTGACTGTAGATGCTCACCGTATACTGAAGGATTTGGAATCACATTTATTTCTTTGAATAACAATACTGTTAAGTGTCATATGTTTAGTTTGTGGTTATTTAAACCACGTAACAGACGGGCTTTCTGAGCCAAACTGAATATCAACGTTGCAGCTCAAAGTAACATTTTCTATGATAACGTATTGAACGGTGAGGTATGAAAGTAGAGCAGGGCTAATGGTAGCGTACAGTGAAGGTTGATGGACAGTATAGTAAAAGGACTACGGTTGTACGGAGTAAATGTCCTGTTGGCAGAGAAATGTCTGCAGTAAAAGAAAAAGACAGAATTTCCAACACAGTATAGTTTTTTTGTTTGTTTTTTTTCTCTGAAAGTGAATGGCTTCACTGCAGTGAGAAGGAACTGGGGAAATTGACTGATTTTGGAGAGGTTGAGGGCTGAGGAGACAAACAGACAAACATGTAATCATCCGAAATTCTCACGTGAATCAGCTGGAGATTAAGGCATTTGTTGAAAGAAAAAAATAATAATCAAGTACAACTCTATGTACAGTGGAACCTCGTGATACAAGCGTCTCAACATTTCGAGTATTTTGAGTACGAGTATTTTGAGATACGAGCACGCTTACAGACACCAACGCTAGGTGGCCTAGCACTCGGAGCAGCCCACGACTTCTGTAAGCATTGTTTTTGTACGTAGCGTTATCTATGTGCATTATTCTTTATAATAGTGATGAGTCCGAAGAGAGTGAGTGGTAAGGATGGTGGTGAGTCAATAAAGATGAGTGTGATGGCCACGTGAGTGATGGAGCATACATGCATGATCGCAGTATGTACCATCCTAAAGGAAAAAAGAAATAAATACGTAAGATCTCGTATCTCGAGGTTCCACTGTATTTCTATTTTGGGAGAAAGCAAAACACATGAAACACATGAATATGGAAGATTCTAACGTGCGTAAATATTTGTGACACTGTTCCATACAGCAGCAAAAGGACATATTTTCAACCCATCTTTCGCCGGACCAGCCCAGATTAATGACTCGTCCTACAAATCGTCATTTGTTTTTTTTTCCTGACGTTTCACCTGATAGAAGACAAAATAAGCAGAAGTAATGAACTTCAGACCTTCCAACAATGAAATGAGCACGGTATCCCATCAAATTAATTAATTACCTTTTGCCATTGGGAAACCTTTTAAATTTGTAAAAATGTGCCTGGGCCAGGTGAGGTTAATTGGCCGTTTAGCTCCTAGAACTCCTCTAAACGCCCAGGAGGAACGTGTCCCTAATAAAAGAACAAGTCTCTGTTAAAAGTAGCCCAGCCCCCCCCCCCAACCCCACTCCAACAGATAAAAACAAGGATAGAGTATTCTTGCCTGTGTGACCCCACCCGTGCTAAAACTGACAAATGGCAGCATGTGAATATGTCAACACAGTGTTCCTCTATTCTGAAATCCCTAAGAAGTGGGAGAAATAAGGTGCTGGTAGTGTGTGTGTGTATGTGTGTGTGTTGTCAGTGTTTGTATGCGCACACGCATGTCTCCCTCATGACAGAGACAGATGGAGTGGGAGGAAGAGGAAGCAGTTTATAGAATATCGTCGAGGGAGAGTCGGCACTTTCTGAAATACAGCTTTCAAGTCTCAGCCATCAATCTCTCCAGTGCCTGTCTGGATCAAGCAGACTGCAGCGCTGGTTTGTTAGTGTTCACAGAGGATGAGCGCGTTAGTCGCTGCTTCTCAGAAAGGCCTCAGAGACAAAACAAGCCGTCAGCAGCTTCCTGCGATGGAGCGCGGTGGTAAAGGTGAAGCTGTCGGTCATCAATATGTAAATAAATTGCCCCATTCTGTCAATCAAGCATTAAAAGTAGGGCAGCGAAAACGCTGGTCCTGTGTTATTAACTAGCCCAGCTGGACTTCGGTGCACGAAGCACATGTGCAACCAGTTTGATTCATCAGATACTGATAATCCAAAAATATTTCTGTTTTTCTTATATTATTACTTCTACAATTTATCCCTAATAGCGCCTCCTGTGGCAGCCTGTGTTGGTTGCAAAGACTCACACTGTAGATTTCCCCGTTGTGGGATGAGTAAAGGACTCAATTATATTCTTATGACATATTTTTATAACATACTGTTCTTCTTACTCTATGAGCTACTATAACTGTATTTTTCTGTTTATTATTTATTACTATCATTTATTTATTATTGTATTTTGTTTGGTGATGACTACAACTGCATTTTTCTGTTTATTATTTATTACTATTATGTATTTATTATTGTATTTTGTTTGGTTATTGTAGCTTGATTGACTGACTTAAATTTTAAGTTGGTTTGAATAAAAGCATCTGCTAAATGTATTGTAATGTCTTAAATAACACACATTACTATAAGATACTTCTTTATCATTATATTACACCTGACATATACTTTAAAAATTCAAATCAAACATTTCCATGGGAAACAAATTAATTAATTAATTCAAATCAAACATTTCCATGGGAAAAAAACACACACATGCTTCTTGTCAGTCCCTGAACAAGAGTAAAGAATGGGTAGAGGGCTAAAAGAAAATGTTAAAATTTTCAAGGGCAGCGCATGAATTTGTACCGACACCCTGCAGCAGAGCACTGAAAAATGCGTTTATTTCTTAAACCAACCAATCAGCTCTCAGTGGATTAAACTGCAGAGAGTCTCATTTAAAACACAGACCCAGTTTTCTTCCAATAAAAGTAAGGTTTCAAACGCCATCATCTCTGCTGCTGTTATTGTTCCCACTGAGGCCCCGGCCGTCTCGCTCACGTCAGGTCCCTCAGATCGACCACTAAATCTGATTGGAACATATGGCATGTGAACCAACTGAAATGAATGTTCCAGGTTGATATCTGGACTCTGAATCACCACGNCTTCCAATAGAACATGGCACACTGGACATTAATGTACCACTGCTGTCATGCTTTAATGATAACAAGCCTCCAGTCACTAGGTGGCAGCAACTCATACAGCAGTTTGTACAGATAAAAATATACATGTTATCAGGCTCTAGTATTTCAATTCGAGGAAGTGTGGGTCTTTTGTGTGTTTTTTATATTTTGCTCAATGGAGTGATTGAGTTGAGATGATGCAGGTTTTTTTTCCTTTTATATATTATGTCATAATTTAAATAAAAAGTCTGTGACCTCGGAACTTACGTGAATTCTTACCATTTTTCAAAAAGTCACAACTCAGTTTGAAATCTCATGCCTTGATCTGCAAGGTTTAAAATGTGACCTTTGAGACAAAAGACATAAATATCACAACGATACAGCGCAATGATTTTATGTACGTAAGAATGTCAGGCAGCGATTGTACCAGCAGTCGCTGCACTTTGTGTTAGATTTAGTTTGACTGTAAATATTTCCAGGTTTTTCATTCAGGTGGGTTTTTTTTTTTTTGTAGGTTCTGTGATTTACTCCGTGTTCTTCTGTATTTAGAAAGGCTTCGTTGACAAACCATTTTCCAATCCTTTAACCGATTTGTAATTCTGCTTGTGCACCTCGGGGCCAGCATAAATAAAACACTAATGTAACCTCTGAATATCCAATCATGACAAATTGTCTAATCAAATCAGGTTTTCACCACATGCAAACGACTGTTTCGGCTGTTGTGGCCTTTTGTTCCTCTTCGCCGTGAGCCATGTTACAACATTTTTCACCCAAAATTGGTTTTTGGTGTCATTTTTCGGGGCGTCTTGTCACAACATTTGTTCTGCAGAATGCCCTTAACATCAGCACTTGCACATTTCTGTCATCCACAGCTGTTAACAAGATTCCAGAATAACAACAGCCTTGAGGTGTTTACCGTGTGGTGTCTTCAATTATCAGGAGAGCTACCTGCCAGGTTGTGTCTAATTCCTTGCGAGGCCTGAGAATAGACTAACAAGTGAGCATTTTTCTCATGATCTGTT